ACAGGACGCTGACTGGGATGACGACAGCTTTCTTCGACTTTATCTAACCACGTTAGCCGGCACGGTAATTCAGATGCAGGTTCCAGTCAGCATTCACCATACGTGGCAGATGTTGGAGGAGTACCTTGTTGAACACTTGCCGCGCAACAGCCTCATCGAAACCTTTGGCTGCGAACTCACCTTAATCAATGCAGACACCCAAATTGCACTTCAGGACCCCATACAAGAAGACTTATGGAAGAACAACCACTTTAGTCTTGTTGTGCATGATTGTTTTCGCATGTTGGAAGACAACAAGCCCCTCCAGGGGCTCGAGTATGAGGACTGCCCGAAGGCAATCAGAGTCCCTGTCACTGACTCAGGTATCCTTGAGGCCAAAGCATTCCACTCAACCGCGCGTGTCCGCCACGTCAAACTGGACGTCGGTTTCGGCACAGTCAGCCCACAGGCGTGGCGATATTGCCATTCCCTGAGGATTGTAAAACTGCCGGACACCGTCGTTGTGATAGGTTATGCAGCCTTCCAGGGATGCTACTCCCTACAGGTAGTCGAAATGCCAGGGTGTGTCGAGCTTGGTGTCCATGTTTTCTCTGAATGTTGTGCGCTGGAGTGTGTCGGGAACATCGTAGACGGAGGCAGTTATCTTGCGATAGGAGCTATCATCGGCCAATATGCCTTTGAAGAGTGTGCCAAACTAACACACCTCTCCCTCCCCAATGTGCGAGCCGTGGTAGATAGTAGCACGCTAACCTCCCCGCAGGCCGGAGTTCCGCAGGGGTGCTTTTTCGCAAGTGGCGACCAGCAAGTCGAGCTCGGTGAGGATACATACCATATAGGCCACGGGCTTTCGAAAGCTGCAAGTCGCTCACCCAAGTAAATATTGCCAACACCGGGATTCACATTCTGCACATGCACACTTTTGCGCAATGTCACAGTATGGAAACAATCATGCTGCCAATCTGCCTGCGAGAAATCAGAGCAGAAGTTTTTGCAGGTTGCAAATCCTTGGCGAGGCTGACCCTCCCGAGCAGCATTCGCTATATAGGATACAGAGCTTTTGGCAGTTGCACTGAGCTCTCTTACCTGGAGTATGCTAGGAACAAGCATGAGGCATGGCGGTATCCCTATGCTGCCAACAATGCCTTTGAAGCGTGCGCCAAGCTAGCCACCCCTAAGTGGCTTCACTACATCCTACCTAAGGACAGTGATTGGATTGCCCCCTGCATTTGACTGATCGCTATCTATACTGCTCACATGAGTAGTAGGAAGTGCCACGCAATAACTACTAGCATGGACGGCTACCCAAGTAGCTGCCCCTCTGCACTGCCAGGCTCAAACCCCCAGTAGCAAGTACAGATACCGTAAATAGCGCCGCCATGCACAATGACATAGAGTCGCAAACGAGCTCGCTTGTCAGCAATGAACGACAGTTGGTGGTGCACCTCCTGTTGACAACCCTCGCTGGAGATGAACACCAAGTCGTTGTTGATCTCCAAGAGTTTGACCGACTTGATGAGTTTGAAACTGCGGTCCTGGAGCAACTCCCGACCATAGGAGGGAGCAGCACTTTTGGGTGCGAACTCACCTTCGTCCAATGTGACACAGGTCAACTCCTGAGGAATCCTGTCTGGGATACCCTCAGGGACTGCAACCACTTTCACATCATTGTCCGTCAATGCTGCTCACGTGCAGAACATAAAGGGCAGATGAAGAGGAACGCCACAGCCATCCAAGTGCCGCCCACTCGTTCAGGGCAGGTGCTTCCCCATGCCTTCACGCATTCGAATGAGGTAAGGCATTTACAAGTTGAAGCAGGGGTGCACACCATCGGTGAGGCAGCCTGGCAGCATTGTAATCGGTTGCTCATAGTGCACCTGCCCAGCTCGCAAGTATGCCTGAAAGACGGAGCCTTCCGGCGATGTTACGTGCTCCACACGGTCACTGCCCCAGAGTGCAGAGATTTCGGGTGCTGGGTATTTGAGGAGTGCCATGCGCTAGCCCGCGTTGGAGACCCAGACAAAGCAGACAACCAGCTAGCGCCGCAAGCGCGTCTACACACCCGAGCCTTTGAAAAATGCCGCACTTTGCGGACACTTGGTTTGGAAATGACCAAATATGATCCACACGACCCGAATCGGGTCATACCAGAAGGTTGCTTCTCGGAGGCAGGGCTTGAGGAGCTAAACCTGCCAGCAGACTTCTGCTGGACATCAATGAAATCTTAGGGGGCACTTTCGCACGCTGCTCCCAGCTACAGCATCTCAAGCTGGCCAAGACTTTGAGATGCATTGGGCGAGATGCCTTTCTGAGGTGTACTTCCCTGGAAGAAATACATTCTCCACCTGCCCTGCTGTACATCAACAAGCGAGCGTTTGCTGGTTGTACTCAGCTATGCAAACTCGTCCGGATGGGCAAGAAAAGAACCTGGAGGGGTACCTATGCAGAACATGATGCATTCGAAATGTGCACTAAACTGGCACTCCCAACATGGATTCGGTTTCTCGCCAAGCCCACTGCTGCAAAAGAAGAGTGGGTGGACTTCATGAGAAGTTGTGCAGAAGCCAATCCTAGTGCTGCCGCACGTCGGTAACAATGCATGCAAAAGTGTCTGGGGAATGGGACTCCCAGAGTAGCTTGGCTAATCGGCTCGGAGCTAGCTAGCAGATCAGCAAGGAGTCGCAGGTCGGTGACTCCATTTGCCAACTTTGCCAGTGCAACTGAGTGGATAGCCAGCTCCCCTGGCTGCCTCCCAAGAGGTGGTCAGGGCGTGGTACAGTGTACAGTTCTCTAGTACTAGGAATAGCGGCGTTTCACCGTTTCACGTAGTTCATGAGAACTTCGGTGCACTCGAGTGACCCTAGAAAAATGCAGAACCTGCCGAGGCTGGCCCACCGTGCCATACTTGCTCTCGCTTTCGGGTGACTTGCACTTTGGTAGTAATCGGAGAGGCTCATCTTGCTACGCTGTGTGACCACAGCAGGTCCCGATTGTCCTGGTTTTGGAACTGCTTTCTGGGTGCACGCCCTCATCACCTCCCCCTTCGGGGGGAGGTGGTTGGTCTCGTAGCTACATCTCTACATGCCACTGCTAGCCCGCTGCAGGCCTCTTATGATCTTCGGCCCTTTTTCAAGTTCGCATGTTTGACCAGAGATACCATAGAGTCATGCCTCTTACGACTCGGGAGTGGCTTCTGTGGGTCAGCATGCACGCACCTTACTACTTCCTGGATTGTCTTGCCTTGATGTGTCCTCTATGTCGAGAGGGGGTGATGCCCATTGCCTACCCTACCTCTTGTCCTGGCACATACCGGCGTAGTACAATGCTCAAGCAAAGGCCATGAGCCAGCCGGAATTTTGTCCCGCAAACTGGAGGACCTTTCGTTACAGAGTAGGCCAATTAGGAGCAAATCTACGTTAGCATAGGCTCGTTCGTGCTCTTTGATACAAGTTTCGTCTTGCCTAGCTCCGAAACTGGCCTTGAAAGCACCTCACATTTGCATCCGGTCTTGCTTAACGACGACTGTGCAGCACAACACCTGTGTCGGGACACTCGTCACCCAACTAACAGGAAGGGGCTTGATGATGGACATCCTTAACTGAGTGCAGCCTGAATGTAGAATTCATTGCCCCGTTTCACTCTCGTGTTAGATCTCCGGATCTTCACCTTTTTGTTTCACATCTCGGGAGGATATGAGCCTGCTCCTGTTGTGTGGGTTGTTGCTGTTTTGGTTGGTGTTTGGTTGTTTGTTGCTGGGCCTTTTTGGTTCTGGCTCGTGTCTTCTCATCCTACTCTGAATTCATTCAAGGTGACTTGTGCCTCTCGGCACACACAGCGCCCGTACCCGTGCAAAAAAAAATTTCTTGCCAGGTTGGATGATGCCAGATGGAAGCGACCCGCAGAGTCGGGTAAAAGAAACGTCTAGCGGAAGCAGCAGAAATTGCACAATTTTCATACTTCAGAGGCTTCCTTAATGTCTTCTAGGCCTCGAAATGACACACCAAGAGAAGATATTTCAAAGAGCTTTGCGTGGTACTTCAGTGGAATGATTGGACACGTTCCATAGACAAGACATCAGATGACCAAAAATTATCTCATGGAATAGTTTGCCTAGACCCATGTCAGTGCTCTTGAGGTGATACAGATAGGCAAATCTTGCGGTAGGAAATCCCACAAGATTTCAGGCGGAATGCTACAAATGTTTGAGTGCACTTCAGGGCACATACATGTCAGTTGAGGTGAAGGTTTGCTGGTTGAAAATTACTTCATGAACTGGAACGCTTGGGGTTCGAAAAGACCGCTACGTCTGTCAAGTATGTACAGACCGCAACAGACCATCGGCAAGCACCACCTGTTCCATTTGTTGAACTTTTCGAGTCACTGTTCCAACGTTTGGTACCCTGTCTGAACCTGTTCGAACAGGAATGTGGCTTATATACTGCTGTGTGAGCCCAACATCCGAAAAGATCAAGGCAACGTGTGCTTGGCTCGCCGTGTTGGTAGTAGAAACAATCATTCGATCTTTTTGGACCCACCGGCATCATTTGCTGACAGTTTTTTTCGTGGTATGGTCAGGATGGTTCATCCTCATTTGGGTCACAGTTGGCCGTTTTGTGTATTTTGTTTGCGTTCGTTTTTCCACATTGATAATTGTGTTTGTGATTTCTTTCGTGTGCTTTCGCATGCTTGAACCCGATTTTTCTTTGTTGGTCATTTGTTGCCATCTCTGAGCGCGTTTTGTCTTGGGGTCCTATCGAGACATTGAAGTTCCTCACCCAGCTCGGCCGGGTTCATGGAAAACACGTGGAACAAGTCATGGAGTTCGTGGCACTAGCTGCTAGTTGATTGATCTGATTTGTGTTTGTTATCATTTTCACGTTGTATTCAGTGCACTGTTTGGATTCTAACTAGTGATGATTAGTGTTTGGGTGTCAATCCTGTTTGGGAGCCATCCCATGTGCCTCATGTGGCGCACGATTCGTTTGATTCTTGAACTTGCAGATGGACGACAAAGCCAGCACGTCGACCAATCCACCTTTCATCACGCAATGGAGAGCAATGGTTCAACTTCGAAGCTAAGGCGAAGTTGGGTTTTTGCCAAAGCACGACATGGCAAATAGTGATAAACTAGTTTTCACGTGCAAACACGTTTTTGCAATTGGCATTTGATTATCGTAAAAACTCAGACTTTGATGCAGGGGACAGCCAGTGGGGCTTGCCAAAGAGGTGCGAAAATTTGCTTTCAACTTGACTCGCCTGCACGCTAACCTGGAGTTGCTAGTCAATTGGACATGATGTTTTGATGCAAGCTTGTCGTTAGGACTTTACAGGCCACGTGAACACATTTCTGAATAAGGTGACACGCAGCTTGCCAGCAAGCCCTCCAGCGAAATCCTTGGCAACTTGGCGGTTCAGTCGTGCGGCAGGTGATGTCACCAACATGGATTGGTTTCGTCACATCGTGCGCTGCTGTCGCATCGAGGCTTCGGACCTTCGTCAATTCTCTACGACGCTGCAGGACCCGCGCGGGGCTCCCCAACAAGGCCCCCCGTCGTCCGGCTGTGTGACGAGTGTCCCTGGGGGCACCGTCTCCACGGTCTCTGTGGGACAGCCGTCTCAATCCCGTCGTCCAGCCCCACTGAGTCCCGGCGTCACCTCGGTGCTTCCAGGAGTCCCCGGACTTGGACATGAGCGCGACGTCGGCCTCTTGTAGCCCCTCGGCTTCAGACCAGGGTTAGGAATCAGGCATCAGAGTCAACGCCCAAGTGTTTTTTGTTGTTGGGTGTGATTGCCTTGCAATGCAGGGTAGTCAAGTCTTTACTGGAACGTGTCAGGCAACCTGACGAGCGTGAACAGGGGAGAGCCACCTCCTTAGAGTGAACAAACGGAGTGCTTCTGCAAGTTCACGCATGCCTGACGCTGAATGTTCTAAGCATTCACAGGGTCACCGGGGTCACTATGGTAACGGTCGGGTTCCGGATGCGAGGCCAAGTCGACGAGGCCCAGGCAGTTTTCACCTCATCGGGCTGTTCACACCTGCAGTGTCACAGAAAGCTTTGATTTTGCCTGCCAGCTCCAGGTTTGGAGTATTAGTGCCACTAGATTCGCAGCATTGCCATGCATGGTGTAATCATTCAACATGTTCAACGTTTTTGCCAGGTGCAAGCAGGGAGCTGTTTGCCATCAACCAGTTGCGTGTGAGAACCTCAAGTATGGCACATAATTCCAATGACATTGAAAGACACGAGGACGTGTGACCGCAATTGCACACAAGACCCGGCAATCCCCAATCCCAAGTTGTATGCTAGAGAATGGTACTTTTTCACGAAAGCTAGCGAAGCTAGCTGGAGTTACTCTTGCGATAGCAAGGTTTCTTTCGACCGGGTGCAAATCCTAACCCCTGATTTTTCAGGTCGAAGCCCCCCCCCTCCCCCCCTCCCCCCCTCCCCACCTCCCCTCTCCCCACCTCCCCCCCTCTCCTCCTCCTTGTCTTCCTCCCATCTTCCCTCCCTCCCTCCTCCCTCCTCCCTCTTCGCAAGTTCGACTCCGTCCTGTCGTCGCTCTTTGGCATGCGGTGAGCGTTGCGTATCTTGCGGCCGCACTCGCTCACTCTCACTCTCACTCTCTCACTGTCTCACTGTCTCACTGTCTCTCTCATCTCTCTCATCTCTCTCATCTCTCTCATCTCTTTCTCATCTCTCTCATCTCTCTCTCCTCTCTCTCTCTCTCTCCTCTCTGTCTCTCGTTTTTCCGTCTCTCTTCTCTCTCTTCTCTCGCAGGAGGATCCGGGCAAAGAGCCACATATAAAGGACTCTTCACCCCTGCCTCCAAAAAGAGCGCCGTGTTTTTTCCTACCTCGCTGCCCTCCACTTTCCCATTCTGGAGCGCTAGCTTTCGCCCCCCCCTTGGCCTCAAGTTTCAATTGGACAGCTGCTAGATAGACGGTCTGCTTTTCAAGGCTAGATCGCTTTCGTTTAGAGCTTTTGACATTGGTTGTGTCAAGTTTGTCCTTTGTCATCACCTTCCCCCTGAACTAGCACCTTTTCCCCGCGCCACCCCCAGGCACGTGAATCCAGGGTGGACATTTTGTGAAGTCCGTTGTGGCCACACACACACACACAGACACCCACACGCGCACGCGCACGCACACGCACCCCCCCCCTGCACACGCACACAGATACACGCAGATACACGCCGACCAACCCGCCCATGTCGTGTGTGTTGCACCACCAGGGCCAATTTGAGAGCCAGCGCCGGCGTCTCTCCCAGTTGGAGCGACGCATGGAGGTTCAGCTGGAGGCGACTCCACCGGGGGGCGCCGAGCTGGAGCTGGACCTCGCTGGGGGGAAGACGAAGCAAAAGGACCTTGCCATACCCACCAAGCAGAGGGAGATGAGATGTGGAACCACTGACATTCGATTGGTGCGATATGTTGCGTATATGTTTCCCTCGTCGATGTATGGCTCGAGCTGATATCTTCAGTTGGCCAAGCCATTTGCCGCGAAACGCAGGGCCCCGGCTTCTTCTGCATGTCGTACTTCAAAACCGGGCCGCCCGAAAGCCAACATCGGGACATTTGGATCTCAGGGAAGGTGGGCGATAGCTGCTCCAGAAACTTGGCCTTCTCCTTGCACCAGAAGAGCTACGATGTAACCTTGGTGGATGTGAAGAAATCGTCCGAAACCCCACTGGGCGCATGGGGTGAGGTCAATGTGGAGCAACCCAGAAGAGCTCGGCCCGTGGCGGTGGGCGGGGTTGACACCATCAAGAAAGCACGCAGCTAGAACCAGCAAGCAGCAAGGGCATTCTCTACATGTCCTGTACATTGGAAGCGCTTCCTTTGACATTTGGATGTGACCGGAAGAAAAGTGCCGTCTTCGAATCGGTAGAAGTTTCTCAAGTCCTGTTGGTTGTAAGCCTGGGGTTGGCATTCGTTTGGTAATGATTGAATGTGATTACTGATTGACGTGATTCGTGGCATGAAACCTCCGCTTTTGGCTCTTTCTCTGTCCAACGCCATTCTCTTCCCTTGCACATTTTGGCATCTTTTCAGTGTTGTTGACAGGATCGCCTCCAGGGCAAGGGCGACGTTCGCGAGCGCTGGGCAGAGACACAGGTCCGTTCGACCAGAGACACCCGCCGGACCTGGGTCCTGGCGTTCGGTGTGGGCGTGACCGAAGACGTGACCGAAGAGATGATGAAGGGAGTCGTTTTGGTGTTTTGGAAGGGTTTCTTCAGCCTGTTCCTTGTTTAGAGGGAGGATAGAAGTGGAAGCTCACTCCACTTGATCGATGCAGTTCTGAGAACCGTATCAAGTTGGAGATTGGAACCTGTCACAGACACTCCTTCATGCTGTCGTGCCGCATGCAGAGTTCAGGGCCTTTCAAACATGTTGCTGTTCTGAAAGCACATAAACAGGACAATGCTCCATCAGATAAACAGGAACATGTCACATGCTGTTTCCATCGACAATGCTCCACCAAGCGACCCAGTGCACATAAAGCACTATATCAGGGATGATGCCTTGCCATTTAATTCTTGTTGGATCCCTTTTGTAGGTGACGGGGAGCATCCACAGCATGGATTCAACATGAAACGATTCCACATGTAGTTCGTATGCGGATTTCATTCTCGCGCTTCATGAGCCATGAAAATTCACGCGATGGAACAAAGACTTTGGCAACAGCTTTGAGTGCACAGTGGAAGCCATGGCTTGATGTCGCCGGGCACCCGCGCGGCCGTCTAGTCGCCAGTCGACAGCCCAGTCTCACGACCGGAGCCGCCACGTCGACGAATCGATGGGTTCGCCGTTTGGGACCCGCCGCCGAGGACCGGTCGATGTACTTCATCGCTGTGGCGCTTTCATTTGCACTTTGCGCCTGGGTGAGAACTACATGCGCACGCCAAAAAGGTGGTCAAGCGTGCTGCTCACATGTGTCCTCATGATTCCCACATACTTTGACGATTCCAACAGTTTATTGCCAGTCTTCCATGCCTCTTCAGGTGCATCCCTGTTCCTTCTCTCCATCCGGACGGGTGCACTGGTGGAGCAGAGCTGCTCCCGGATCTCCTTCTTTCACCATGTGGCCTGGGACTTGGTGAAAGAGAGAGAGAGAGAGACAGACACAGAGAGAGAAAGAGAGAGAGAGAGAGTGTGTGAGAGGCAGAGAGCGAGCGGGGAGAGGGAGAGGGAGAGGGAGAGGGAGAGGGAGAGGGAGAGGGAG